GTCAGTTAAGTGGAAGACCCAATACTATTATGGACTACTGGACTCTTTTAGAATATTTTGCTGAGTTTACACACCTATAATATTCAAATAACAGAACTAAACAAAAAAAGGGGATAAAAAAGGGGATACAGATGAATGTCCATTTTGTACCTGTGTATTCAAAGTGGTTAGGATAGATATATAATTACATGCTCTTAATGAATAGAGTGATTTGTTCTAATGGTGTTTGTAAATAGGGTATCATCTCTGCATCTTAGTACAGCAATTAACCACTAGGACGAATGTATGCAAGGTATTAATTATTGAAACTGTCCTACCAATTTGATTTGGAAAAAATAAAAATAAAAAAATAAAAAAGCAATATTTGTTTCTTATACTGCAACTTAAAGTATTAAGAAGTAAAGTGCTTTACGTCTTTATAAAAATGTGTCGTGAGTAGTTCTTCTTAATGCATGACTTCCTGAGTGGGGTGGACAGCACTCACATGTCCTGCAGAACTGGCACTCTCCTTTCGAATCAGCTTTCACACCAGTGGATCAGCTTCAGGCTGCTACCCTGTGCACCACGAGTGTCCTGACTTATCCCTGAGGGCCCTGCTAACTTGTGGTGCTTGGTGCCACCACTTCCTCTGAGCCAGTGTCACCCAGACCTGTCTTCTTCCATTTATGCCAACACACTTACCTTCAAGAAGTTCTTTCAAGAGCTTACCCAGAGATAAATCTAGTGGTGACCACATCAACTATTTCTTCCATAAGTCAAGCTATGTTTGATTCAAATTATACTTCAGCATTCTCACTTCTTTCCTTCACTATACATTTATCTTTGCTAGCCAGTTTCCTCTTTCTGTCATGGATCTCTGTAAAACAGCTCCTGGATTTTTGTCAGCAGGAGACAGAGAGGCAAGGCAGGCACAGAAGTTGCCTGCATGAACTGCATAGCAGATGTAAAGGGACTAACCACTAACCTACACTTAAAAAGTGATGCAGTCACTGGTTATAATGTATTTCTGATAGTTATGTAATGACTTGAAAGCTGAAGAGCTAGTAGTAGTTTGTATTTATGCACCTGCTTTCAACTATGTACTGCAATAAGAAACATTGAAGTTGCATTGTTGGGGACTGGTGTTACTTCACTATGATAGCCAGAATGTGTGTGTACTGAAACAATGTGTAGTGAAAATAGCTTATATTTAAGAGAATATTTCTCATATTTAGCCCTCCCTCCATCTCCCTGTACTCATATTTAAAAAAGAATAAGGAGGGGAAAGAAATGTTTAATATTTGGTTTGATTTTTGCTCTCTGCCTTAGGAGCTGAAATCTTGACCTTTGGTTAAGTCATTGAACCACGGAACATTATCTTCTACCAAAAACAAATAAAGGTCTCAAGGAAATTGTCATGTATCAAGCCAATGACTTGTTATTTGCTAGCACAATTATTTATTAGCAATCTATAGCCAATGATAAGCCTTGAACTCATGAGAAATCTCCAATTAACACGCTATAGCACCAAGTCGTTATGGTAATAGCAAGATAATCAAAGCTGATTATCTAAGCTATCAGAGCCTATAAAGAAGCCACCAGAGCTTATGACTTCCCCGAGGAGAGGTCTCTACCCCCACTGGTCTCATCTCTCACAGCCTCACAGGGGTGCAGCGTGGAGGTCACCGTAATGCTGGCATTTGTGTGAACTCTAATAAGCCACTGTTACTTGTGTTCTATAGCCTTATTCAAGTTGGTAAGGTGCAATGCATTTGATTTGAGAGTTTAGTATTAATCACATTGGTGCCTGATTTTATTGAGCAGACTGAAACTGAGTTTTGAAGGTCACTATTTTCTTGCATCTATTAACGTACTTGAAATAGTCTCTGCGTTCAATCTCAGTGTATAATTCTGAGCAATTTCTGAGTGATTGGGACTTTTGCAAGTGTGACTTAAAATTTCTGTACACAGATTTCACAAAGGTAAAGAGGTATACAAAAACCACACTGATTATTATGATAGTGCTTCAATTTGTTAAAAGGTAATTGTCAACCATTTAAATGAATGGGATTACTTTAAAATTTCTTCACCCATAAGTACAATTATGTTAATCACTTCTAATATTCTAAGCTAGTTATTGTTGACCATTTTTATAATGAAGGATGAAAACATAACAAATCATGTTAACAATCTAACTGTTCTGTTGGAAGTTTATGTGATAATAATTAACATGGTTCCTATATACAATAGTTTGTTTAATTAATCTTCCATCCTGCTTTGCATGACATTCTCACAAAAACTCTGCAAATTAGTTACATTTTTCTAAATCATATTTTATTTTACCAGTGAGGGAAATGATACTCAGAAATATGAAATAACTTCCCCAAGACATTAGAGATAAGATGCGAAGCACACTAAACTGAAACTGAGGTTTAAGTGACATCAAGTCCATGTTTTCTCCACTGTCCAGTAGTCAACCACAGCCTACTGGCTAATTCCAGCACACTGTTTCAGTAAATAAAGTTTTACAGAAAGCACCACCTTAGTTACTACCTGTAGTCACTTTCACTCTTCAAAAGCAGGTCTGAGTAGTGGAGACTAATATATTATGATCCAGTACATTTGCTATCTTATTCTTTGCCAAAATGTGTGCCAACCCCTGGAATATGCTGTTTCCACATAAATTAATATTCAATACTTTCTGGGTTTGTTACAAACTAATGGAGTAAACATTAGCAATTTAAAAATATTCTTCTTGGCACTCAAAGAAGCTGGGTGGGGATCACAAGTTGAGCCCACCCATGGTAACTTAGTGACTTAATGAAATCCCATCTCAAAACATAAATTAAAAAGGGTTAAGGGTATAGCTCAGTGTGAAGGCCCTGGGTTCAACCCCCAGCAACACACACACACACACACACACACACACACACACACATCCTTATAAATACAGTTATTAAGTAAATGAAGCCAAAGATAAGTTTGCAGCCTGTAATTTCAGAATTTGAAAAACTGAGAAGAGAAAGACAGCAATAACCATTATGTCACAGATTCTGCATTTCAAATTCACAATTTGCCAAAAAAAAAAAACCTTGAAATTAAGTTACCACTTTTTCCCTCTCTTAGCACACCTTTCAGATTTTTTTGAAAATAGTTTTTGAGGGGAAAGAAGGTGTAATGGAAAATTGGTGGGCTAATTCAGTCAACATAAATAAAAAAGAATCCATGAAGAATGAGAAACAAGTAATCTGCTATGACTTTTAAGGAGAATCACTGAGAAAATCATTCCAGATCAAAGTTCTCTCCTGCTGACTCTTGCTGGAGAGGCAGCATAGCTATTTCCAACCCAGAGTCCTGTGCATGGGGCATGGTACGTCTATCATCTGTGCCACCCAAGGACACCTCCTCCTCCTGACTACTCTTCTTGTGAGTCCCCCTGCCAGGGGTGTTTCAGAGAACGTGGAAGAGCACACAGCCAAAAAGAAGGGTGAAACAGGGGGGTGTGAGTGTGTGTGTGTGTGTGTGTAAGTGTGTGTATGTGTGTTTATTCCCCCAAAGAATGTGAAGTGGTTTGTAAAATAACCCAGTTTAACACTATTCACAATACAGAACGCATTGGTTTTATGGAGATATAAAGGTGATAAGAATGGATGGCATTGTATGTGCGTCACTTGATAAATGAACTATGGAAACATTTCTGATGTATCAGTAGCAACCTCAAGACTTTCTCCAGCACTTGGTCCCAGGGTTCACAGTGACTCAGTGAAGGTAAGGAATAACTCTATCAAAGGATGGAATAATCCATCCTTTCATTTTAGAGTGAAGCTAGGTCTCTCTTTACGCAACAGAGAACCATATCAGTCTTAATTTTATAATCAAGAATACATTCAGATTACCAAATATAACTCCTTATTCATTCCATGAATGACTTTGAACTTAAGAATATTCTTGATTGGGGTTTAAAAACTACTTTCCAAAATATAGTTACTGATGCATAGAAACATTCATTAAAAAACTGAAATACAAAGTCCTAAAAATTACAGCAAAGTAAAATAACCTGGAAAAACAGGAGTGCTCCCGTTTCTTACTATTGGCTCAAATGTACGCATTCACATGCATCTACCTACACACATCTATGACTCATTCCATCTTCCTGACAAGTGATGGCAGGAACAGGAACCCATCAAGAAATATCAGCCTTTACAATATCAATCATCTCAACCTGCCAGTCATGAATAAATACACAGTGACACTTGGGGCTCACCTACCTACGTAGAGAACACCCTCTTTTGTCTTCCCCGCTGCTTCGGCCACACCCTGCTTGGTTTTTTCAGCAGCAGCCACAACTCCCTCCTTGGCCTTTGAAAGTCCTTTCATGAACACATCCATGGCTGCAGATCTCCTTTACACCACACTGGAGAATACAAAACACTTCAAATGAGAACATTTGGGTAAAAGAAAACAAGATAAAAACATCCAGGAAAAAAAATTCTAAAATATCAGGAGAAGCCTCCAGGACTACGAGACTGTGAAGAGTGCTCTGATTTCAAACATTGCACATAGCAGCCTGTTTTAGCTTCTGCATTAAAATTTTACCAACTCCCACCTATCTTGGCCATCTAAACCCGGATTAGGATGATTCACTGAGCAGCTGCTCTTGTTGCATTTCAAAAGTGCAGTTGCTGGAAACCATGAACCCCTCTTTCAACTTCCAGGGGTCTAAAAGGTAACAGTGAAGTTAAAAGCATGTCTGGAGGAAAGAACACAGCAAAGAGAAAGAGAGTAGAAGGCTATGGTCAGGGGCTTCCAAGTTGACCCCGAAAGAGCGACCTACTCACTCCGAAGGCTGGGACCCTCAGGGGCCAACAGCTACTCCAAAGACTCTCCTTTAATCCAGCAGACAGCACAGCTGTGTATCCCACACTAAGCAGGTACTGTCCACACCCGCGGGCAGGCTCCAGTCGACCTCAGCTGCACCCCAGTTGCTGACCCTGTGCCCTGCACCTGTTAACCCCTCAACACCTGTTGATGTACCTTCTCTGCGCTTGCATTTAATTATTTGTTCTTCACTTTACACAGAAGCCAAAAAGCGACCTGCTCACGTAAGGGTCAGTTAACGTTAGAGAAATAATAATAAAAGTTGGCTGTTCGCATTCCCTCCAGCAGCCCAGCGTTTCCGCTAGAAAAGCGTCTCCCGCAGAAGCTGTCTGAGCCCTGGGCCTCCAGAGAAGAGGCGCGAGCAGAGGAGAGCCGCCGGGTCTCCTTGCAGCCCGTCGACCGGCGACCCTCCCAGACAGAGCGACCCTCTCCGCGGCCGGCGACCCTCCCGGGCATGGCGATCCTCTCCCCAGCCGAAGATCCTCCCGGGTAGGGCGACCATCTCCGCAGCCGCGCGGCCCGGCGCTCACCTGAGTCCCCCGCGCCTCCAGAGCTCCGCGTCCTCTAACTCCCTTTTTACAAAATTTAAACAATTCCCGAATAGGATTCCAGCGGGCGGGGGCAGGAGCCGGAGCGCGCGGGAGGATGGAGGTGACGGAGGGGCCGGGGGAGGTGCGGTCCCCCGGGCTGCCGCCGCCGTGCCGCGCGTGGGAGGGAAGCCAGGACCCGTGGTCGGAGCGCCGCGCCCGCGAAGTCCCCGCGCGTGGGGGAGGGGCCGCGCCCGGGCG